CCGTCTCATCACAAACAAACAAACAAAACACTCCTGCATTGCTGCCTCCTCCTCACTCCATCATCACCGATCCTCCTCACCCCGACACCACCCCGTGCCCTCACACCCAAGCATGCTTCATCCCCCCTCATTCGCATTCCAGTCTCCCCTACCGCCCTTGTCCTCGCTGCCTAGGCCCCGTAGCTACCCAGACATACCGCATGCTCTCTCACCACCACCAAACCACACCAAACCCTCCTCACCCTCCAAAGCAACCGACAATGCACCAGCCTCTCTCTTGTCCTACCTCCCTGTTTTGTATCACTCGCGTGCCCCTCCTCCTTCTCGCCCCTCTCCTCTATTCTCTGATCCTACACTGCTACCATCCTGCCATCAAAGTCTATCAAAACATAAGGCAGGGTAGACAGCTACAGGCTTCCTGCTCTACTCGAATGCTTGCACTCTTACTTGCTTGGGCCGCTTCCTTTCAGCCAAACACGCTGCCTTGCAGCGGCCCCTTTCCGCCACACCTCTGCACACCTCGTTCCGCCCACAACCTCAGCATACCCCGTCAAACCTGTCGCTACAGTAGGTGCAGAACCAAAACAGTTTCCCTTCTCCTCAAGCATTTCGAGTCTCAGACACAGCAAAGGGCGAAGCTAGACAGGGAGAGGAGACGGTTGAGGCAGCATCAAGCATAGAAGAACCCATGAGAGCCATGAGAACAACCGCATGCGAACACAACAGCCCTAATGTCTATCCCTGCTTCTCTTCTCTTCCGTGAGCAGCTGATCAGCGGCACCGCTTTTTCAGCGATTTCTTGGCCAAAGTTGGGGTGGGTTATGACAACACCGGTCAAATTACAGTAAAATGTACCGGTACATATGAATCGATTTGGTCTACCCATGGATTTCAACCCCTGTGGCTCAACAATTATTATTTTTGGGGTCCAGAAGTTCACGGCGGAATCGTTTTCGGCGCATGTGAGACTACCGAGGGTTGGGGTTTGAACTTATTGCCTAACTTATAAAATCGATAGTGTTTGACGGCATAGTAAGGCGTAGTTCAACTGCAAGATCGCGGCTGAGCGTCTGCGAGTGCGATTGAGGATAGGACAAAAGCAGGAAGAAGCGACAAGGAGGGCTGTTGTGTTCGCATGCGGTTGTTCTCATGGCTCTCGTGTGTTCTTCTGTGCTTGATGCTGCCTCCACCGTCTCCTCTCCCTGTCTAGCTTCGCCCTTTGCTGTGTCTGAGACTCGAAATGCTTGAGGAGAAGGGAAACTGTTTTGGTTCTGCACCTGCTGTAGCGACAGGTTTGATGGGGTATGCTGAGGTTGTGGGCGGAACGAGGTGTGCAGAGGTGTGGCGGAAAGGGGCCGCTGCAAGGCAGCGTGTTTGGCTGAAAGGAAGCGGCCCAAGCAAGTAAGAGTGCAAGCATTCGAGTAGAGCAGGAAGCCTGTAGCTGTCTACCCTGCCTTATGTTTTGATAGACTTTGATGGCAGGATGGTAGCAGTGTAGGATCAGAGAATAGAGGAGAGGGGCGAGAAGGAGGAGGGGCACGCGAGTGATACAAAACAGGGAGGTAGGACAAGAGAGAGGCTGGTGCATTGTCGGTTGCTTTGGAGGGTGAGGAGGGTTTGGTGTGGTTTGGTGGTGGTGAGAGAGCATGCGGTATGTCTGGGTAGCTACGGGGCCTAGGCAGCGAGGACAAGGGCGGTAGGGGAGACTGGAATGCGAATGAGGGGGGATGAAGCATGCTTGGGTGTGAGGGCACGGGGTGGTGTCGGGGTGAGGAGGATCGGTGATGATGGAGTGAGGAGGAGGCAGCAATGCAGGAGTGTTTTGTTTGTTTGTTTGTGATGAGACGGGAAAGGATACGGAGCGAAGTAGCGAGAGGTCAGGGAAAAGGGGATCGTATGAGGCGTTGGAAGCTGCAGAAGTTGGGCAGGCAGGATCGAGAGGATTGTACTTGCTTGCGGTAGATTGTGAAGGGATGAACGAGCAGATGCAGCAGACTGGTGTTGAGAGCTAGAAGGAAAGGCTGAATGCCCATGGCATGTAGGGGGACGAGGTATGAGGGGGCGTGACAGTGTTGGTGTGTGGAGGAAGGCGAGTTGGTGGCAGTGGAGGGAATAGAAGGCCTGCAAGATTTTTTGTAGACAGGAATGCTTCATTTGTGTAGTGTATTGCATGGACACAGCGACGTAGAAAGAGGATGGAGAGAGACAAGGACTGACAGCGTTGGAACATGACTACTTGGGATACGAAGGTGAGGAGGGTGTAACTTGGACAACTTCGTTTGCATGCATGGTGGGGACAGGGAAGATGGAGGTTGGGGATAGAACGATTAGGGAAGTAGGTTTACTTGATGTTTGATCCAGTTTGCATGTGACATTCTACATTTTGCATGCGGTAGGGAGCGATGAGATGCAGTCGATGGGAGTAAATGTTGGGAACATGTACCAACGTTTTGAGTGCAAGGAGGAGTGCGAAGCTGAAGGATTGTGTTGATCATTTGTCTACTTTGACATTGTCTGAGTGTGATGAACGAATGCTGGCTTGCTTGATGGAGATGCTTTCGTATGCGCAGGGATGCGCAGGAAAGTCGGCGTGGGAGCAAGTAGTTGAGTAGGTGCGAGAGCCCGAGTGGGATTGGGGCAGGAGAGTGCTATTGGAGGCATTGCGTGAAAGAGGATACATGGGGCGAAAGGATTTAGCAAGGAGGGGATGGAGGCGTGACGGAGGAGACTCCGGAGGAGATTTTAAGTGTGTATTTATTCTTCGAGGTAGCAGAGATCATGTACATATTTACAGCAATGAATGGTGTGAGAGCGTGAGAGCAAGGAGGAGATTGGAACGTTGACGATCTCGTCTTGGTTATCCAGAAGGTCTTGTGCGATGAATTCCTCGAACAGCTGCACCTCCTCCTTCTTCGCTGTGTTTGCCATGTTCTTGTTCATTGTCGCTGGGGTTAGTTTTGGGTACGGTACTTTCAGGCCTAGGAACAGGGGTTGGGGGTGCAGTGCCTCAGGGGTGGGAAATCGCAATTAAGCTCTTAAAAGCTTCTAGTACCGGTTTGTTTCCCTTACATATCAGGGGTACAGCTTTATTTGGTGGGGGTGGGGTAGTATTTTTTTTTTCAGGAAATCGCCATGGCACCGGCTTTGCTGAGGCAAGCTCGATAAATAGTAGAATAGAGGGTCCTACGCTGTCGGAGGACAACTTTAAAAGATACTAATACTTTTTCCTTGGAACATTTAAAGATTAGATCTGTAGTTTTCAAGATTTAAAGGAATGTATGAAACTGTTCGAAAGGGGTAGGGTGGAGCCCATCAAGGCGGCGACCAGGTAATAAGGATGGTTAACTCAGCCTGTGCAATGATGACAATCGTGAAACCACCAGAGCCTATCAGGGATTTGTGAGATCTTCATCATGGTGTCAATCATTCGAATGTCATCGTTGCAGTATTCGATATTTTTAACAACACGTTTTCTCTTTTTTCGACTTGCAACCAGCAACGCTGCGCAATCCCCGGAACCGTTGCATATTACCTGATAATCCTTCATGCCATTGCCCTGATTTAGCCTAAACTCGCTTTCGTTTGTTCTTCTGCGTGCTATTTTCTGGCTCAACATCATTATCAGATCCATCCCGTGCATTGAAAGCTTCACGGTCGTGCGGTTTGCTCAGGACAATTCGCAACGACATTGCAAGAAATCCAACAGCTTGAAAACCAAGGCATCATCCCATTTAGAGAGCAAGATCTGCTTAAGATCATTGCAATACTTGTGGTTTTTTAACCTTGCAACACAAGTTGTGCACAAAGGCACACCATGCCACTTTCGAATGCTGGTCATCTCTCTTCGTCTGTGACATGATGAGCATGTTTTTTTGGCTGGAGGCCTGGGCCTGCCCATGGTGTGGGGCAACTTAGCTTTGCCCGCCAAAACTTTGATTTGAATTTTCTCGTGACAACCTGCCATGGCATGCAGCACCCCCTAGATTCCCCGCCATAGCGCCCCGTCGTCACGGTGACGAGGAGGCCCGGCAGACTGCCAGTGGTCTGACCTGTTTTCATAACATTTGAAGTTCAACGATTGACAACGTGCGGCACAGGCGATGGAGGATTATTGTTTAGAAAAAGTTTTGTAACACAGTGAACATCAAAACTTCAAACATCACAAGATATCTCACAACTCTCGGCGTCGCTCCTCGCCTTCCCTTCATCGTCTCTGTGGGGTCGAAGCGCTGGGAGGGCGGAGACGAGAAGCTGACGGAGTTCGAAGACGGGAGGCGGAAGAAGGAGGGCGGCTGGCCGAGGACGGTCGAACATCTCGGTCCTGCTGGGGAGTAGTGATGCTGGAAGAGCTGGTCCTCATGACATCGTTGGATTTCTTCCTCTGTCAGACAGAACTTCAGCTGAGGGAGGGTGGGAGGAGAGATGAGAGGGAAGAGGGAGGGTAGAGTGGAGGAGAGGAGACTCGGATCAGGAGAGGAGAGGGGAGGAGAGGACAAGAGAGCAGCGATGAGATGAGAGGAGGGGGGGAAGAGAGAGAAGAGAGACGAAGGATGGAGGAGCAAACAAGGTTCTCCTCTCACCGGGGTCTGCATGTCTTCTTCTTTCCCGCTCGCGTCCCCAGCATTGTCCGCCTGCATCTTGCTGACGTGTCTCGTTGCCTTCCCGAGCTCGCAGGAGCTGACGATGCTGGCGAAGCGGAGGGTGCACACGGTCTCGTGCCAGGAGCTCGGGTCGGGGGAGACGTTGGTGACGACGAGGGCCTTGCCGTCTCCGGACAGGCAGGGCTGGAGGAGGAACGTGAGCTTCGAGTTCCGGTAGGGCACGTGCGCAAGCTTCTTGGACAGGGCAAGGAAGACGTCGGAGAGAGCAGAGAGCGACTTGTTGATCGCCTGCGCCTCCTTCAGCTGCACCCCAGCTGCCTGCGTCCTGTCCAGCCGCTCGGAGCCCGCGAGGTCGATGAGGTTGAGGGTGCCGTGCAGGAGCTGCTTGCTGGAGGCGTTGGAGCTCGAGATGCGGAGGATGAAGACTGTGTGGCTGCGGGATGACCGCTCGTTCATCTCCGTCCTCGCCATGGTCTTGTGCTCCTCCGCCGTCCTGATGATCCTATCCAGGTCTTCTCGCGAGCTCACCGCCACCTCCCTCAGCTCCGTCACCTCCATCCTCCCGCGGGGCCCCTGCACGATCTTGTGCTGCTTGCCTTCGCCCTCCTCGAGCAAGTCTCGGATGTTCTCCTGGTAGATCTCGAGGAAGGACGCGCTCAGCTCGACAGTCCAGCCATCCCCCCTCTTCTCCTCCGCGTCCTGCAGGATCTGAGCGAGGGAGCGGGGAATGATTCCCTCCTGTTCGCCCCTGCCGAACATGGTGAACGTCTTGCCGGCCCCCGTCTGACCGTAGGCGAACAGCGACACGTTGTAGCCGTCAAGCGCACTCTGGACGAACGCGGACACCTCGCTGAAGACCTGCTCCTGGGAGGAGAGGGGCGGAAAGACCTTGTCTACCTTGAACGCGTGACTTCCTCCCCCTCCCCTCACCGTGATCCGCGAGTCCTCCTCCTCCACCTCGAGCACGCTGGGTTGGTTGTCCCCCGGCCTGATGCGGGCGAACACGCGGATGTTGCCCTTGAGCTCCTGCAGCTCGTTGTGCAGCTTCTTGCGCTGCTGCTCAGTGGCCGTCAACTTCTGCTGTAACGTCAACACCTGGAAGGAGCTAGTTAGACCTGATAGCGGGAGCATAAACAGGAGAGGGGAGGAGGAGGAGGGGAAAGGGTAGCAAGTTGTGACAGCGGAGAGGAAGAAAAGCAATCATGCTGCTGCCCGACCTGTTCCTGCAGCTCTGACACTTGTTTCCTCCTCTCCTCCGCATCTTCCTGAGCTGACGCGATTTTTGTCTGCGCCAGCGCCTTCTGTCTCTCCATCTCCAGCAGCCCCTTCAGCTGGTCCGCCAGCTCGCTCGGGTTCTGCGAGACGCTCTTGTACGTACGGTACTCCGCCTCCAGCACCGCAAACTTCTCGGTTGCCTCTAACTTTGCCTGCTGGGCCTTTTCCAACTGAGCCTGAGCTGCCTGCAGGTCTCGCAGGCGGAGCTCTAGAGTAGCTTCGAGCGACTGGAGCTTCTGAGCTTGGGAAGAGCTTGATACTTGTAGCTGGAAGAGCGAGTTCTTGGTAGACTCCAGCTCGCGTTTCAGCTCCGCCTCAGCCTTCTCAGACCTCTGCAGGCACATCAGGGAGAAGGAGGAAGAGAAAGAAGAGATAGGAAGACGAGGACGGAGAAGGAAAGGCAGAACAAACTGCAGAGGGATGGGGAAAAGGTGTCAAAGGAGGGGAGGGGAGGGTACATGTGCGTTTGTGTTTGGGGAGGAGATTTGGTTTGAACCTCGTGCATCTCAGAGACACGGGCATTGAGCATCTCCTTCTCGAAGAGAAGCTTCGCAACCTCCTGCTTCGCTTCGTCACGCTCCTTGATGTTCCTCTCCACGTCCTCTCGGCAGGCGGCCAGCTGATCAAGAAGAGTCAGGGAGAGCAGAGGAGGAGACTGGTGAGAGAGTAGAGGAGAAGGAGACTGTAAGGGAAGGAGGGGGTCGCAGTACCTGAGACTCCATCACAGCTTTCTGCATCGAGAGGCTCCGATTGGATTCTTCCAGGGTGGCCAGCGATTGCTCCATCTTTGACACTTGGGACTGAGGAGGAGGAGGAGGAGGAGGAGGAGGAGGAGGAGGAGGAGGAGGAGGAGGAGGAGGAGATTCAGTGCACAGAAACCCAATGCTTCAACTACCTTGAGCTCGCTGCTGGCAACGACCTCCTTCTCCTTCTCGGCGTTGAGCATCGACAGAGTTCGCTTCCTCTCGTCCACGAAGTCAATCATGTCCTCGTTCAGTTCATCCACCTTGGACCTCAGCTCCTCTACCTCCGCCGACAGCTTCTTCGAGGACAAGTGTGCTTCGTCTCTTTCCTCCTCCAGCCTCTTCTTCTCCTCCTCCATCCTCCTCTTCTCCCCTTCCATCCTCCTCACCATCTCTTCCATCTGTTCTTTCTGCGCCTGCTGTTCCCCAGCTGTCCTCTCCATCTCTGCACACAGCCTCCTCTTCTCCTCCTCCAGCGTCTCCACCTGCTCCTCCAGCCTCCTGCAGGACTGCAGCACTTCACTCTGCTGCACTTCCTTGACTCCCTCCGCGTCCCTCGCCTTCTTCACTCGCTCCTCCAAGTCAGCGATCCTCGAGTTCAAAGACGAGATTCGTTCCTCCTTCCTCCCAGCCTCCTCCAGCTCCCCCTGCAGCGCGTTGGCTCTGCTCTGTTCCGCCTCCAGCTGCTCCTGCAGGGCCACAAGGCTGTCCTGCAGGTCCAGGAGCTGATTGTTGAGCTGCCCGATCTCTCTAGCCTTGGACTCCTTGAGCTCCTTCAGCTGCCTGTCGTGCCAGGCAGCGTCTCCCTCCATCACAACCTGCATCCTGCTGATCTCTCTCTTCAGCTCGATGATCTCTGCCTCCCTGCTGCTCATCACGTCTGCCAGCTCCTCCCTTCCGCAGACATCCTGCTCCGCACTCTCGGCTGCCCCGGTCGCTTCCTCCTGCACCTCCGAGCAGCCGGTGCTCTCCACCTGGACCCCAGGAGCGCCCGTTTGCTCCACTTCTACATGCTCACTTGCTTCCAAGACGTCGCTCGTCGACAGACTGAGCTCAGAGGCGTCGCTGACCATGTGGTTCAGCTGGTCCAAGTCGTGGAGCATCTGATGGAGCCCTTCCTGCAGGGAGAATCGGAGGGAGGAGGAGGAGGATTCGGCCTGTTGGACCTGGATCGTGCTCTGCTGATGCCTCTGATTGTTAGCTGCTCCTTGGGTGAGGGCAATCAGCGCTTCTTTCAACCTTAAAATGTAAGCTTGCTGCTCTGCAATGACCTTGCCCTTCTCCTGCTTCGTCGCTTCTATCCTGGTGTTGAGCAGTGTGCACAAGTTCATGTCTGTGGAGCTTGACGACGAGCCTTTGAGGGGTTTGAACGTTCGGCTGCCACCAACTTCCTTCTTGGGGCGCGTGCTCCTGCTCTCGGTTTCTGTACGGCTAGCCTCCCACATCTTGCGCTTCTCCGCTACGTTTGAGTTCATCTTGGAGTCAACGCTACGGAGAGGAGGAGTGTTTTCGCTGTCATTGCATGTCATCTCTGCCTTGCCCTGACTGCCAGGACGAGCTGAAGCTGCTTGAGTTCGGTGAGCTGCTGAACGCAGGAACATGATCGGTCCTCGTTACCACCTCCCTTCCTCTATGTTTCTCCTTCTCTCTTTCTTTCAGTCTCCTTCACTGATGGGGAAGACAGCAAGGAAGGTCTCGAGCTCACACTGCCTGCTGCTCTTGTCCTGCCTTCCTCCACAGCTCCATGTGTCAGAGCGGTTCCAACGTTGCTACACGCCTGCTCGAAAATCAAAATCAAATACCGCTACTGGAATTCCACTACCCCCCACCCATACCCCTGAAACATATGTCAAGTACCCCTACATGCATTTCTAATCATTCAAAACGAAAACTGCAGCAAACAATAATAATATTTTCTATGTATTGTTGAAGTTACATAGTAAGGTTTCAAAATGACCTTGAAATATGGAAATCCTAGCGACAGTGGCTTCAATGATGGATGCCGTCCAGACACATCATGCTTCATGTCCAAGCAGCATGAGAAGCGCCATGGCAGACTCAGACATGGTCAATCAGGCTAGTGACATGCCAGACAAGGAGTTGTGCCGCAAAGCTCCTGTGAGGAGAACGTCAAGACCTGGCTGAGCGAAATGCTGTCGAAGCAGCTGAGGACGTGGAAGATGAAAAGAAAGGTCCGACTGTCCCCGTATTCCGTCTCCTGAACGCGCTCATCCCGCTCTCAGTCAGAGCTTTTCCATGGAGGTTTCTGAGTATCTGTTGGTGGAGCTATGTTGAGGAGCCTTGGTTCGGATATGCTCGAAGACAAACATACAATCAGTAGCAGTGTAAAAAAGAATCCACAACACACCAGACGTCGCGAAGAAGCTCTACGCAAGGCTGAGGAGATGTCGTCAAGAGATCCGTTGTGTGACTTCACTGGCGTATGGACATGTCTGTGAAAGGTATTGCTCGGTTTCGCAGGATGCAGGCCTCAGCCAGGACGATAACGAGTGTAGAAGGCAGAGTTCGAGTGGGCAATAGTCCTAAGGAGAGAGAACCTTGCTTTTGCCATTAAAGCAGTCCTGCAGCAGAGACTGGATCTTGGGGATGCGAGTCGAACTGCCGACCAGCACGACCTCGTCCACCTCGCTCCTAGCAACCCGGCAAAAGTAAGAAATCATGTCAGCAAATTGATTCTCTGGGCGCTTGTTTCATATCAAAGTTCCTTATGTACTTACATACTATCCAGCCCCATCAACAGTCAATCCGAGCAATGACCGACAAGAACAAGCAATCATCAGCAAACGATCTCTGACCAGAGAATCATCTGTGAGCATTCACTTACAAGCTATTCAAACATATTCATTTCGTAAGAGGAACCAAGAGAATTGGCAAAATATCTTTCAGTCAAATCGTTCGGCACCACATTTTTCAGATACTTACTCCCTGTACTTACCGATGCGATCTTGTAGCATCATTTGGAATAAATCTCCATGACAATCTATTTGATTCTCTTTGTCACATGCTTGGAATGAAACTCGTGGAAGTGTATTTCATTCGTTTTGGGAATCTATGTGGAATCAACATATTCTGTCCATGAAAATCAGTTTCCCAAGTGTTGTTTGAGAATGTGTAAGTCAAATTTGTTTGATATTTGTATTAGTTTGCAATCTTGATCACCGACTCCAAAAATGCAGACATGTCAATATCATCAACAGGAAATTCTGCTACAGCAAGGCTGATCGGTTTTACACACACAAAAGCACACATACGAAGTTACCAGAACCAACAAGACGGGAAGACAAACATGACCTTCATTTCCTCGCTGTCATCACAAGAGCTTCAACACTGAGAGGAGGTCCCACACCTCGAAGCTCTTCGTCTCCTCGTTGTACATGAAGCACATGGCGTCTCCCTTAGGGGCACACTCGTGTCCGTACTGGCACAGCCACGTCTCTCTCACTCCTCGCTCCATCAAGTACCCGAGACCTCCTGCTACGAATCTGCCCGTATGGGTCGTGAGCTCATGCACAATCTCGTCCCATGTCGCCGTCAGGACACACTTCTGCTTCCTCGGCCTGCAGGACCAAGACTGCGGGCAAGAGTACATCTGCTTGCGCCATTGCTCGTCAAAGTTGAGCCCTGTTGTACATCCTACCCGCCAGCCTCCATAGTTCCAGTGCCAGCTCAGCCTGTACTTGCAGTCAGACGAGGCGGGGTCGCTGGGATTGTAATTGGAGTGCCAAACGTCTGCAGACATCAACTGGATCTGACTGGATGGAGCAAAACCCATGCTCCATTGGTTGACCCAGTACCTCCACGTTCCGAACTCAGGTCCTACCGCCTCATATTTGCTGGTGGTCTTGTTGAAGTTGCTGGATCTGAAGATGGCGGCGAGTGTGAGATTGCTTCCGATCACGTTGGGGGACTCTCCGACAGGCATGGCAGCCAGCACAAGGTACTCTCTGCTCTTGCACCGCTCGACGTTGGCGTCAACGTTGCCTTGATCGTACAGGACGTCGAAGCAGAGCTCACAATGGCGGAGATTGTCGACGGAGTAGTCGAGCTGTATGCCGGAGAAGATGGGGTCGGAGCAATCGTAGGTCATGTCATTCACAGTAGAGCAGTCAGCAGAGCATGCGTCTCCGTCGACAGTGTTGCCGTCGTCGCACACTTCAGAGCCGGAGATTACACCGTCTCCGCATACTGGAACGGTCGGAGGACTGTGAGTCGAGTTGTCCACCATGGCGGAGGCGGAGGAGTTTGAGCACAAGGGGTTGAAGCAGTACAGGCACTTGTCGGGACAACAGTCTCCAAAACTATGGCACAGTTCGTCGCACCAGCAGGTTACAGCTTTGGCTCCGCACGTCTGGTTGCAAGAGCCTTGTACCAGGTAGCGCAAGGACTGGATAAAGGAGATGTGTGTCAGATGGCAGTAAATGCACTGAGGTGCAGGAAGCAGTGAAGATAAGCAGTCAAACGTACGATAGATCAAGACACGATCATTAAGTAGCAATGGATGACTTGCAAACATGAAGAAAACAGATCGCAAACGCGTGCGGGGTCAGTGGACCAGTTGCACATACACAAACTTGGCATGCCTGCTTTTCATGCGAACTTCTTCCGGGGAGTCCCGTAGATCCAGAAGGCATGCTTCTTGTGACGAGCCAACTCGCTCTCCCTCCCTCAGGAAGCTGCTCAGGAGCTGTCGTGCTCGCATACGTCACCGCGCAGGCTGCCAGCATGGCGAACCAACTCAGACATTGTCCAGCTGGCTTTTGCATTATTATTCGTCACCAGTACGTTCAAGTACCCCACCTATCGACCGTGACGTCCCACCCTACCGGGCCACGAGCCTACTCGGAGCCTGGCTGGTCACTACTGACTCAGAACCCTACAAAGTACACTGCTGGTACTGAACCGTAGTACCCCTACACTGAAAGCTTTTTATCGCTTTCACTGGGTATTAGTGACGGTCGGACCCGTGGTCACTGATTGTAGTACCGTAGTACGGTACGGTAGCTTCACTGTAGTACTAGTACTCCGATCAGGTATCAGCCACGCCGGTTTACTCAAAGTTAAAAGTCAAAAATCAGTACGAGGGCTTTTACTCAAAGTCAAGTTAAAAACTGAGTCACGGTACGACTCTGCCAGGTGGCCCGGGCTAGTACGTTAAAAGAGAGACTCAGGAGTCCGAGCCGCTGACTCTGTGAGCCGCGGGGGCGCTGCCTGGCCAGTGGACGGGCCGTTCGCCGCTGGGCAATGTCACTGCCCGCGGCCGTCACCGTCACTCGGCGGCGCGGATTAGAGCCGCTGACTCGGCTCGAGCCCGGCCTGCAGTGCCGTCACTGCCGGACCCGGGACCGGGAGCGCGGCAGCCCGGCCGCGGACTCCGGGAGTCGCTGTCACGTGGATGAGCCAGTGCCAACCGTTGAACTTCGGAAGTGACTTAGAGGGCCCGGGCTCGCCGGAGTCGGGCCGCGGCTGCCCGGCCCGGCGCTGAGTGCCCGGCCGGCACCGCTGTAGCCTGTAGCGCGGCGCGGCCCGGCCGAGTGTTCCAGTCCCGGCCCGGAAAAAATAATAATGAAAATTTAACTGAAATGAGTTGTCCCCGCGAAATTCCGACCCCCAGCTGAGACTGCAAGGGTGGGTGTCCATGGTGACCCCCACCTACTTCAATTTGAACATTTCATATGTGAGGACCCATGGATTGTAACCCCTACCCGCGTTAGCTAATTCTACCGGACCCCTGAAAGAAACCCTGGATAAGCTCTAACGGTCAGCCTTTGAGCCCGCCGCTTTGAAAATTGTTTCAAAATTTTAAAGTTGATTTCTATTCTGAACTGTAACCACCCTATTCAAATCGCTTCCAAACGGGGGTCTCACAAGTCCTTTCCTATCCAATTTGAAAGTTTCTAATTATTTCGTTCAATCATGAAATCCCGGATCGCGCTTGGGGAGCTACGATAGCAGAGGACCAGAATCAGAGGACTGACACTGAGGGTGGGGTAATCAGCTGTCATCCTTTTGAGATAGGTAGGGTCATAAAGATCCCCTCAAATGTTGAAAGTTAAAGTGTCACAGGGAGTGGTGGGGTGTTTTTGGTGTGTGACTGATAGGGTAGGGGTTCCATTGCTGTAGGGGGTGGATTAGAGGGGTATCAAATGGGGATCCTTTGGAAAACGCACCTTGCTGCGGGCGGGAAACCATGTCAGAGGACGAAATGCCCAACAATTGACTACATTTATTACTTATCAAATGTTTAATTTATACAAAAATACAGTAAGTAAACATTTATGTTACAAATTATTTTACCACCCCAAGATTCTTGTCAAGCGTGTTGCCCCCCTGCGGAAATTTTGATCGCCCCTTCCCTGTACCCCTACCACCCTTTCATCCACCGTCGATACCCCACCTTCCCCCACTCAGCACTTTCCTGTCTCGGAGGACCCTACCCCCGCTGGTAAACTGGACCCCACCATGATCCGACCAACCTTCCATAGATCTCAAGTACCCCTTCTGGATTACCGTCAATTTCACCCCTGTATTTTACCAGATTCAGTGTGGTCTTTCTCGCTCATTTCTGCACACCACCCACAAGTTTCCGATGGTTTGTACCACCGGTCCTGGATTGTACCCCAACGGTCATGAGCACCCTACCCTACCGGTCGTGGACCTGCAGCTACTGCACGATGTGAATGGCCCGTGAAAGTTTGGCATTATGCAACATATCATAAGAAAGATAGGAGCTCTGACGAGAGCGAAAACCTCCATTAGGATGCTCATGTACTCGTTGCCTGACATCACGATGATCCCAATTTGATTGATGATTGTTCGTGTTCTTTTGAGCTCAAAGTTCGTGAACATCACAGCACTGCTGTGTCTTGTGTTTTGAGGGGAAGGAGTGTTTTAAGGTCTGTATGTTCGTTGTTAGATGGTATTCGTTTAGAACTATCATACGATAGAGAAGCAATCGTTTGATTACGAAAATCTGGTTCTTTTGGTTAGGAATTCGTTTTCGTTTTGTTAATTTCCTGACATGTGGCCTGATTAGAGTTGATTGTGACATACTTTGTTCGCAGACTCTTTCGAGAGTGAATCACGCTGCGAGCTCTCTCAATTTGATCTCTAAAAGATGGGCGTTCTTTCGCTTCTTTTGCGCCCCAGTGAATTCACGGCACTGATCAAACTGAAGAGGAAAATCTCAAAATGGAAGAAGCGCGCATCGCAGCAGAAGAGAGATGCAGACTGGTTGTTCTGCTACGATATGCTGGACAAGGTCTCAAGATCGTTTGCGATTGTGATCCAGCAGCTTGGGGACGAGTTGAGAAATGCTGTATGCATTTTCTATTTGGTGCTGCGTGGTCTCGATACTATAGGTACCAACTTACCGATTTAGCGTATCGCTGTTATGCTCACAATCATGCAGAGGATGACATGGCAATTGACAAAGAAACAAAGACCAAATTACTCTCGACTTTTTATCAGAAGCTGACTGATGAGAAGTACTGCCTTAGCTGTGAGTCTGAACAGTCTATGGTTGAATCCATACTGATCTTGTTGGTTGCAGGTGGTTACAAGGACGAGAAGATCTTGGTCGAGAACTTTTTCCATGTCACTCGCGGATACAACACCTTGAAACCTCAGTATCAAGAAATAATCTGTGACATCACAAAGAAAATGGCTGAGGGCATGGAGAAGTTCACCAAGATGAAGGTGGTCACCACCAAGGATTACGATCTGTACTGTCACTATGTTGCTGGTTTGGTCGGAATTGGGCTCAGCGGATTGTTTGCAGCTTCTGGGTTGGAAGATCCGATGGTGGGTGAGAACTTGGAGACGGCTAATCATATGGGTCTGTTCCTGCAGAAAACCAACATCATTCGTGATTTCCTCGAGGACCATGAGGACGTGAACCCTGAAACGGGAGACAGGAGGGTTTTCTGGCCCAAGGATATATGGGGCAAGTACACGGACGACCTTGCCAACTTCACGTTTGGAAAGAATGAGACGCTTGCAGTGGCCTGCTTGAATGACATGGTCACCAATGCTCTCCAACATCTTCCTTACTGTGTCGAATACCTTTCAACCATTTCAGACGAAAGCAACTTCTTGTTTTGCGCTATCCCTCAAGTGATGGCAGCACATACACTTAGCCTGTGCTATGCAAATCCAGATGTCTTCAAGGGAGAGATCCGAAAAGAGCTTGGCGAATGTAGGAACACGAAGCCGGTTAAACTTCGCAAGGGGCTCAGCGCCAAGTTGATGTTGGATACGGTGGACATGGCATCAGTATTGGATATCTTCGAAGATACAATCGAATCTATCGCGGATCGAATCGCTCCAACTGACCCCTCAGCCAAGTCAACCATGGCCATGGTTCAGATGTGCAGAGATGTTATTGCTCGCGGCAGAGGGTCCCTTCCTTCAACACTGAAGATCTGTGAAGGTTGGAAGGCAGAAGTGGTGCGTTCGGTCAGATCCATTGCAGATACTGTTGTCATCCCCTTGATAGCAATTTTGTTGATAATCACTGGGATCTTCGACGTTCCGCAAGTGATGAACTTGGAGTTGACAGCGTCGGCGAATCAACCGAACTCTGCCTTTTACTTAGCCATGACAGCTTGGAATCTATCTTTTTACAGTTTTGCTCTATTCGCAATGGTATGGGGAGCTCATCAACGGAATGTGAAGCCATTCGCTCTGTTTCACGTGATGATGACAGTGGTTGAGGTTCTGGTGCTTTGGTTGGCTGCAGCCTTGGGTGCCCGGCAACTTCTATCAGAGACTCTGCCAAAGCTGCTTGCGGCCTCTTGCCTGATGTCAAGCATTTCGAAGCAGACGTCAATGCTTCATTTGACACCGTCGCATGCCCTAAAAACAAGTCACGTGATCAAGGCGGTGCTTTAACTTAATTCCTCTGACGCTGACATCCTGTGGTATTGTTCTACTCTATTTAATTTCCTTTCTCTATTCCTCGTTGCTTGATGCATTAAAACTGATTGACATAATTTGCACCATTATAGTACACCACTGTCAGTACGGTGAGTTACTTTGGATTCTCTGTATTCACCGACTGCTCTCACAGAGTCACTAGAAACTGTCAGCCCGGCGCGCCGCAGGCCAGTCGGTCCCCGGGGTCCCGCAGGCTCCGGGGCCGGCTGAGTCACTGTGACCGGGTGAGCCCGGCCCGGCCCACGGCCACAGTGCCTAGGGTTGACTACCAGCATCATAATTCTGAGGCGAGCCTGATACTCGTTCACTGCAACTTGCCATGGTTCCCCGACAGCCCCGTCTCCTCCTACACCTGCCCATGCAGCTAGCAAAACTTTCTCCTCCTCCTCCTCCTCCTCCTCCTCCTCTTGTACTGTTTGCCTCTGCTCTTCTTTCTTGTCCTCTACCGTTTCTTCCTGTCGCGTCTGATTCATCCTTATCGATCTCATTCTTCCTGCTTCCGACTCCTCCGCCCACCTGATCCTCCTCGTCTTTCTCATCCTCGCGGTCACCCTTTGTTATCCTAGCCATTGAATGCGCACGAGTGCTGGGGGCTCCCAGAAGCTTTGATTGATCATGCATGCTCTGCCCTTCTTCCCTTCGTCCTCCTTCAATCCCCTCCCTCCAGATCCTCCCTCCCCCCCTGCTCCTGCTCCTTCTTCCGAACCCCCCCACCCCCCCACCCACCCCCTCCTCATCCTCCTTCTCTTCCCCCCTCTCCTCCTCCTCCTCCTCTAGATTTATGCTTACAGCATCATCAGGGGTTCTCGCCCGATCTCTACCCGGGTCAAGGGATAGGAAGCATCAGATTAGGTCAGGGCGGAGTGTCTTTGTTCGGCAGCTCACCAACAGCTTAGGGTCGACGCTCAAGGAAGTATTCAAGGAGATTCAGGACAATCAGGCCTTCTTCTCCAACGTGCAAGTCAAGTTCTGCTCAGAGGTCGTTGGATTCTGAGCCGTCGTGCCCCCATGATGCCTCCCACTGCAGGATGTTTGCTCTATGGACCTGGTGCTTGAGATCCCGAGCGTTGGGTTGATCATTGTCTTCGATCCAAGACAGCAGGTGAAATTGAGCCTGTGCTAGAGTCTTCTCCGCTCTCATCCGCTCTCCACTGCTCTCCTCAGATCTTCCCTTGAGATTTGGTTGCTGTTTCTGCATACCATCGCATTCATTCACTACTACTCCCTTCACTCACTGCATGTACACCAGAGATGCAGGCTGATAGAGATCTACAAGCCCTCTGAGTTCGCCCTCAGCTATGATGGGGTTCCCTGCTGCGGGCCGAAGGTAGGACATGCGCCCTGCCGACCCCGTCTGATGAGTCGGTACAGGTTTCCCCTTCCTTCCCCTCCATCTACCATCAACTCGGCCCTGCCCTGCCGGGAAACTACAACGAGAAGACAGAGGCAAGGGGGGCAGGGAGAGCGGAAGGAGGAGAGGGCAGGAGGACGAAGGGAGGGAGGGAGGGAGGGAGGGAGGGAGGGAGGGAGGGAGGGAGGGAGGGAGGGAGGGAGGGAGGGAGGGAGGGAGGACGAAGGGAGGGAGGGAGGGAGGGAGGGAGGGAGGGAGGGAGGGAGGGAGGGAGGAGGGAGGAGGAGGGAGGGAGGGAGGAGGAGGAGGAGAGGTGGAGTTGATGGATGTTGTGGCTGCAGACATATCATTTGACGTATCCGGGGAGTAACTTTCTTCTTTCCCATCTCCAAGAAGTTCTCGAAGCTCTTCGCTGATCAGCGAAGTTTGAACCTCGTCCTGCCTGGTACCCTCAACGTCTCATGGACTCGAACCCCCCCCAACACCCTGCTCTCCTTCCTTCTCGCACTCTTTCTCCCCGCCTCGTCCTGACTTCCTCTCTCCCTTCCTCCTGCTCCCCCCACTCCATCGTACAGATGGCTCTACTCCCGTCGCATCCCGCATTCGGATTCATCCCACGGACGACCCCAAGGGCACTTCCCCTCCTCCTCTTCCCTGCGACAGCCTTTACATGGAGGCGATCGAGGCTGATCCTCGAGGTAGCCAGCAACGTGCTTGCTTCCCCTCCCTGTCTGACACCAAAGGAAGGAAAACTGAAATTCACCACCCGGGGCTTCTCCCTCGACTTTAGCAGCGAGCCGCAGGTGAATCAGCATGACAGCAACTTGACGTGACTTTGCCGTAAGGACGTTGTGGCGCAACTAGGAAAGCCTTGCTCCGTGATGCAGAAGAGGATAGACAAACTGCGGATTCACGCCCGGCAGGTGAAGTAGTGGACCTTGATCCCTTGTTTACTCCTCCCATGCTGTGTGTTGGAATCTCCTCCTCCTCCATTATCACTTCCTCCTTAATTCTTTCCTTCCTCCTTTCTCCGTCCCCGCCATGTCGTCATGAGCATGACACTGATTGGAAAGGGCTCCACCACTGCATATTACTTCTACAACTACTTCCATCTTGGCCTCGACATCCTCTTTGATGCAAAACAGCACACAGTTCGCAAGTTTGTGAGTTGCAGGAGGGAGAGAGGGGGGTGGGAAGGGAATGGGGGCAGGGGGTTGCGATGCGGCGTTAAGACGCCATGGCAGGTCCTGCATACCAACTCGCCGGATCATGTTGACTTCAACATCTACAGCAAGTCTGACGACCCATTTGCCCTCCTCTTCTCTCCTCTTTCGCCCTTGACTTCACTTTTCTCTGTCCTCCCTCTCCTCACACCCTCGCTCCCTCCTCCTCCTCTCCTCGTCAAGCTCCCTCACTTCCTTCCTCACTCGTCTCTCTCCTATGCTGCTCGTCCTCGTCCTCCTCCTCCTCCTCACGCTCTTGTAGGTGCAACTTTCGCCTTGTCATCGACGATCAGCGACAAACTTCGCAGGCTCGCAGCAACCGGAGGATCGAAGTTTCTCCGGACACGCGATGGCCGGAGATCGAGAAGTGTCTGGGTCCCCCTCAAGGTCGAGTTTTCCTCTAGTCTGCCAAGTTTGATTTTCAGTAGGGGGGAAGCCTTTGATCCATATGGACCAGACGTCGGGGGACCAGAGCGGTAAGGTGGAGGAGAGGGAGACTTTCTGTCAGGGAGGCTGGCGAGTCAGGAGGCAGGAGGAAAAAGGAGGAGCCTTGAGGAAGAGAAGAAGAGGAAGGGGGGGGGACATGTGCGGGAGGAGGACGAGGACGAGGACGAGGACGAAGACGAGGACGAGGACGAGGACGAGGACGAGGACGAGGACGAGGACGAGGACGAGGACGAGGAGGCATGACGAAGTGTTGAAATGTTTGCCAGGTCATTCACTCTACTATGGGTATTCGGGGATGATTTTCGAGGTGACGAGGTTTGGAAATCTAGCGAGTGTAACAATCTTTCATCAATAAACACCACAGTGTAACAATGTACCTTCCCTCCTCCTCCTCCTCCTCCTCCTCCTCCTCTCCTCCTCCGCGTCCTCATCCTCCTTCACGCTCCTCTCCTTCTTCAACCTCCTTTGCCCTTCTCCTTATTCATTGCCCCTTCTTTTCCTTCTTCCTTATCCCCTTACTCCTCCTCCTCCTCGCCTCTCCCTCTCCACTTCTACCTCACCACTGGCACGTCTTGGAGTTGAAGTTGTGGTGAACGTTCGATCTCACCGTCTCCTCACTTATGTCTGACACCCAGTTGAAGTCGTTCTCCTGCAACATCGCTCAGCTCCCTCCCCTGCTTTCTCCTCCATCCTCCCTGATCACTCCACCCTGCCTGCCTGCCTGCCTGCCTGCCTGCCTGCCTGCCTGCCTGCCTGCCTGCCTGCCTGCCTGCCTCCCAACTCCCTCCAACACGCTTCCTCCTTTTCTGCACTCTCCTCTGTCCTGCTTCCTGAGTCCTCCATCCCATCACTCATCACCTTGTCGATGACAACTAGAGGAGCAGAGTCGCCGCCCTGCACCAGTCGACTGACAGTGAGGATGCTACGCTGTACGCAGAGATGCACCTGAGGCAACATGAGCTCCTCCTCCCTCCCTCCCTCCCTCCCCTTCCCTCCCATGTTCGCACCCCTCCCTTCAACCTCTTCCCCTCCCCCTTCTTGAATTTCCCTCCTGCTTCTTCTTTTCCTACTGCTCTCTTTCCCTTGCCCTCGTCCTCTTTCTCCCCCTTCTTGGCACATCCCTTCTCTGCTCTGCTCTGCTCTGTTCTCCCCTCCCCCTCCTGTCCTGTCCTGTCCTGTCCTCTCCTCACTGAGTTCTTGCGTCGTAGAACCGTCACGGCTGCTTCCTTGTCTAGGATGCGAACCTGAAGCTCAAGTCACCAGAATAGAAGTCAGAGAGATAGAGGGAGGAAGGAAGAGGAAGGGGAAGAAGATGAGGGGAAGGGAAGGAGAATGATTGAACTGGGTCTAGTGCAGTACGCAGTTCATAGCACGATTGATGACGGACGAGGGGGAACAGGAATGGACAAATGATGTGGGGGAGGGGGAGAACTGGGAGAAGCGGGAAGAGGGCACAGGTGAGGCAGAGACGAGAGAAGAGGAGACAAGGGCGGAGGGAGCAAGAAAAAACCTTGCATGAGAGGAGGGAGAGGAACGCGCTGTCCGAGAGCACAGCCGCCGATCCAGCGATGTGATGGAACGAGCAGTCTGCGAACATTGCAAGCCCTCCTCTTGATACGGCCATAGCTGTAGCATCCCCGCTCTCCTTCGCCTCGCTCGTCTCCTTCCTCTGCTGCAGCTCTTGGACTGTCAGAGCTCCAACGAAAGAGACATCCTGCCGTCAAAGTCAAGAGCAGGCGCAGGAGCCGCTCCTCTGACCGTCTGCAGGCATCGCAGCTCCCCGCCGCACATGAAGACAGCACCTTTCAGGCATCAGCGTGAGGAGGAGGAGCCAGAAGGTTTCGCGTGCTGCTCACAATTGGCTTGCATGCTCACGCCTTCCTGTCCTCCGATCTGACTTGAGCACATGGAGACGTTTCCTCCTTTCACCTCCAGCTGCTCCAGGTCAAGAGAGAAGCGAGCAAGCAACACGTTGGTGGAGGAGAGGAAGGAAGATTGTGAGGCGAGGATGGAAAGTGGACAACGACACAAAAGAGGAGCAGGAAGACGCAAAACTCATAGTCAGTCAGTCTTAGTTCCACGTCATCAGCATCGAAAGTTTGGAGGAGGAACAGGCAGAACGAAGGAGGGAAGAGATGCAGTGCAGGAGCAGAGGAAATTATCAAGGAGCGATGCCCACCGCGATAGCTTCGAAGCTCTTGATGCTACATCTCATCACCCGCCATTCTCCTCCTTCGACGCTCAAAGTCGCATCGAGAGAATCATCGCTCCCCCACTGACATCGCAGTCAGCATCGGCAGGAAGCTGGAGAACACGGGCCGAGGTGGGGCAGAGGAGAACATGGAGGGGGGAGGAGGGGGAGGGGGGGGGGAGGGAATCGAGGAAGAGACAAGGAGGCAGAGAAATGAGCGGCTGCAACCTGCAGCTGAACATGTAAGAGCGACCCGCTAGACCCGTCAGACAAATCAAGAGGACGGCTGATCACAGTCGCTCCCTGCTCTATTTGTCTCCCTCCGCCAGCTTCTCCTCCTTGACCCCGCAGATGAAGCTCCGCAGAGGGGACAACTAGTAGCGCTCCTCCGCTGCCCTCCTGGATAAGGCCGTGGGGGAGGATCAGGGTCTTCTCAGCCTCATACCAGATGACTGGCTGGTCTCCTGGTGGCACTTGACCTCCTGCATGCGATCCCTGAGCAGCTCCTTCTCCTCCTTCCCTCGCCTGATGCTCCAACGCTTCCGACAGGGATGGAAATCTCCTTGTCTCTCTCCTGCATTGAGCCCTTGACCTCATCTCGTCCTCCAGCTTCAGCAGCAGTCGCTTCCCCCAGCTCACATCAGACATGGTCCTGATCATTTCCTCGTCCCTTGACTGAATCTCCTCTGCTTTCATCATGGCCTTAAACCTGCGCACGTTTGAGGGAGGCTCATAGGCGAGACACTCTTACCTCGCTTTCAACGTCTTGGGCTTGAGAGACTCGCTACGAGTCTCCCACAGCTCCTCGCACGAGCTGATCCATCGCTGCAGCCACTCGTCGTCCGACGCGAACATCTGCTGGGACTCGCGCTTAAGGGAGCTCATCTTGCGCAGCATGGTGAGGAGGGAGGAGGATCGAGCATCTTCTTCAGATAGACTTGGTCGTTCTGTGATGATACGGTCGCTTCCACCTGCCAGCCTCAAGGTGCTTGGCAGTGCAGCAACCCATGAAGGAGCTGCTTCTGTGCTTGCTGTTTTTGCTGCAGATGGTGATGGGAACAATGAAGATGATACCGGGTGTCTTGCTGCAGCAGTCTTCATGCTTGTTGACATTGCCGTCATCGTCATCATCGTCGGCATCGGCAGACAGCACATGTTCAGCATCGCCAGCGCCACCACTCGCCATGGCGGGCGCCAGGGCGGGCGCATCAATCTGCGCATCAGCATGGACAATGCTAGCTCGTTGGCTGGGCGGTGTTGTTGAGCAGATTAGCGGATTTGTTGGTATTTTCCCTTTCCTTGCTCCGCACGACTTTTGTCTTGATCCTTGTTGCCCTGCTGGTCGTACATGCCATGGCTCGTGTGGTTGGAGTTGGAGGAAGGAGCTGCCCTCGCTCTTGCCCTTGCCTTTCTCTGGGGTTAACTTGTTTGATCCCTGTTTCTCTTGGGTAATTTGCTTCTACTTTTCCTTTCCCATTGAATACTTGAAACTAGCACAGCACGTCGAGGTTCCTTTGTCACCTTGACTATGCGAGTGCACGAGCAGGAGCAGATAGAGCATGGAAGATGATTGTAGAGCTCTTCTCATCCTGAAACAACACCATTTGCTGATGGTGTACGCGAGCGGCATGAGACTGTGCGATCGCAAATTTTAGCAGCAGTCAAACTTGAAGCTTCAAGAGGCTCGTCTAAAGTGAACAAGAATTGATTGAACACAGCTAGTGCACAGACATCAGTATACCTTTTGTATGATGTACAGATGATATAGGATATCATTGCTAACAGCACTTAGCAAGAAACATGCAAGTCGTGTATCATTAGGGCACTATCATCAATATTGAAATTTTATTTTGCTGCATACTCCACAAATTTCACCGATCCCGGCGTTTTTACAAATGATACGATAAAACACTCCACTGAGAATCTCCATTCTCACACTCTTCAAGCAAAAAAATCTCTCCAGTTCCTTCCCTCTCTCGTTTGCTGCTGGAAGAACTTCTGTGCGTGAGATCGGACCTGCGCCTCGCTCCTAGTTCCAACAGCTGCTGCTATCTTCTTGGCAGCCCCCCTTCCCAGCCCTGCCCGCAGTTTCCCCGTTTCATCTTTGACTCCTGTCTTGTGCTGCTTTGCCACATACTCTCCAAGAGCTTGTAAGAAGCGCTCGTGCTCATCCCTGGTCCACATTCGACGAGAGAGCTGATCGTTGCGAGAAGGAGATGATGCTGATGTCGAGGCAGAAGTAGAAGGAGAGGGGGGAGCAGGAGGTTGGGGAGTGGGGCTGTGCTCTTGCTGGGGTATGCAAGACGTTCCTGAAGCGGAGGCTCGCTGCTCGATCTCAGCATCACTGCTCGAGAAATCTTCAGGAAGCTCAGCATCACTGCTCGAGAAATCTTCAGGAAGCTCAAGAAGTTTCGTGAGATCGGCAACGTCGTCAGGATACAGCGCTGCCACAGCCTCGTCCACCGTAAGGTGTACCATCGTCGCCATCGTTGTGCGGGTGCTGCCAGCAGGCACCGTTGTTGTTGTATGAGATGTTGATGTTTCAGTACGCAACGTCTGAGAGGGTCAATTGTATCATCACTGCAACGTTTCGAGGGGTTGACGATATGGATGCAGAAATGCAACGTTTAGAGAGGGACATACTTCGAAAACACGTCTTTTATGGTATGGGTAACTGCAACACATCTTGAAACAACGTTGTTTGGATGGGAAATCTTGAAGGCGGCCCAGGCCGTCCGTGGCGGGGCACAGCCGCCCGGCTCACTGTCATCAAGCTCATGTCAGTGACGGTGCCGACTCGAATCATGATCCAGCCCCCGGGCCCCATGTAATAAGGCTGGCCCCGGCGGCCTCGGCCCTGAGTAAAAATGATCATCATCGCGGCCAAGGCTTGAACGTCCTGCCCTGAGTCCGAGCCTCGGAGTCCGGCCAAGTTTCCGCAGCCCGGCGGCCCCTGGGTCCAAGTTCCGATTTCAGCGCCGGCCCCGCCGCCGCGAGCCCTGAGTCAGGCCGCCCGGCCCCGGGCCAGTGCCCGGGCAGCGGCCCGGCCGGCCCGGCGGCCGGTGCCGCAGTGGGCCACGGTGTCCGATCAGGCTGAGAGTCAGTGCCCGGCCGCCGGCCCGGTTGCCATTTGGGTAGGGGTAGAATTCAGGGGTCTGGAAGGGGTAGTGCAAGGGTGGACGAGAAAGCACGAAATGGAAGGTTTCGACAGCACGAGGGACAGGGAAGGCGTCGAGATAAGGCAGGAGAGGACGAGGAGGCAGGACAGGACTGAGAGCAGGTATGCTCTTACAACGACAGAGACTGAAAGATGTAGAACGATACAGAGATGCTCTTGTGCTTGTTCGACTGGGTGGTAGGCGAACACTGAAACAAGGAACATAGGGCAATTTCCCCACGTGAACAAAGAGAATCGCAAGCTGAGGGAGAAAGGAGAGAGAGCTCTGTTGTAACTTCTTCAAATTCTTGACATGAGATAGCGCAGATGGGCCGAGAGAAGGACAAGGGACTCAGGAAAGCCAAACCAGCGGCATCTTCGGCGGCGGCTGCTGCCATGGTTGCGTCGATGGGAGGGGGGGGCATGGGCCTTTCTTTTGCAGCATTTGATCCGAAAGCTGAGAGCATAGACTATGAGGTCGACTCGGAGATAGGTGTGCGTTGAGGTTGGTGTGATGGCTGATGACGTCTTCCTCTGTCAGCCATCGCCATCCGAAAGCTGAGCAAGAAGGACTCGACGACCAAGATCAAGGCGCTGAGCGACCTTTGTGGGTACTGCGAGGAAGGGGGCGGGAAGGATGATCAGCAGATCGAGGCCGCTCTCACTCTCTGGGAGCAGCACTTCGAGATAGGATGGATGGACCCTGACCGGCGAGTGCGGGAAGGGCTGTTTGCGGCCCACAAGGCCATCTGTGGGCGGGTGAAGAAGCAGGTGGGGAGGAGGATAAAGGCGTTCATGTATCCCTGGCTGTGCGCAAGATTTGACCCCGAGGTCAACGTGCGGACCGCGGCGAACCTTGCTTTCTCGGGCTTCTTCCCGCAGAACAAGGTCGGGGAGGCGCTGGTGTTCTGCAAGGGGGAGATAAGCAGGTCGCTCGAGGACGTGATGCGTCACAGCGTACAGACTCTCTGTGACCCCAAGAGCTACACGAAGGAGGAGGCGGAGGAGACCTTCGCTCGCATCATCTCGACATCTGTCCTGGTCTCTCAACGCGCTCTCTTCATTCCTTCTGCTCGCCCTAACTTGCTCTACAGGCGCTGTCGCACATCGTGGAGATCCTAGAGCCTGGTCTTGCCGTGCCGTTTCTGTCCAGCTTCAAAATCTTCTCCGGCAACCAGTTCTGGAAGTATCTGGGCCATCAGGATGTTCATATCCGTTCAGCCATGTACACGTTTGTCACTGCCGTCACCACCAAGACTCCCAAGTTTGTGGAGGAGTACGGGGAAGACACAGACAAGAAGCTGCTAGCGGTCCTCTCCCCTCTCGTCCTCCAGTCTCTTGCCGACAAGGACCCGGCATCGCACGTTCAACTCTGGGAGTGCCTCCTGACTTTCTCCAAGACGTTCCCTTCCTGCTTTCAGCTGGTCAACGTAAGAAAGGCCGTCCTCCCTCGCTTCTTCAGCCACGTCAAGTCTGCGGCCCACGGCTCGTGCCTGACCTCTTACCCTTGCTTCGTTCCTTTCGCTGACCTCTGCGCCGGAGCCTCGGAGGGGAGCACGCAGCATGTTTACCTGGAGCTTCAGGCGGCCATCGCCGAATCCTTTGTGCTCGTTGAGCGAAGTGAGGAGATGATGGTGGTAGCGGTCAGGACGTACTTCGAGTGCGTTTTGCAGTGCCTGCTGCACTGTACGAGCAAGCTGCAAGGGGAGGAGACAGCTGACGTGGTCCAAAAGCTCCTCGAGGCTCCTCTCGCCACCATCCTTGGCTCAGGAATGCTGCAGTGCAGGCCCGAGCAGCTGGTAGAGCCGATGGCGAAGTGTGTCAAAGTAGTGATGAAGCATCAGTCGGTATGAGCAGGCGAGATGCTTCTTGCGCGATGATGACGTGCTGCTGCCCTCCAGGTCGCCTGCATGAGGCCGCACGTGCTGAAGATGGTGGGCGAGCACCTGGTGGCGGCTGCCAAGGCGCTGAGTGTGGTGGGAGAGGGAGACGGGAAGGAGGAGGACAGGCTGATAGCTCTGAGCTGCGCGCTTGGGAAAGACAACTCGGAGAGGGAGATCGAGGAGATTCTCTCAAAAGTCTCTTCGCTTCTCCTGTCATGCTACCTGGACGCTCCTGGGACCTCAAGCCCCAACGATCGTCTCCGATGTCTCAAAGTAGTCAACAGACTCTTCCTGGCCCTTGGCATCGAGAACCTTGTCGACGGTCAACGTTCTGACAAGAGCGCGAGGCTGCGGCTCGTGGAGGAGCTGTTTGTGTGAGTGATGGAGGGGGGAAGGAAAGAGGAAGTCGACGAGTTGATTTCGTTTTTGTCCACAGGCGTGTAAACAAGGCAAGGCCACTCTCAGTCGTCCTGGCAGACTCCAACGACGAGGAGCTGTTCAGCGTGTCAGCCATGTTTGCTCTCATGATCGACTTTGTGAACAGGGTAGACAAGCTGAAAGCGGTGGATATGTGGAAGCAGGTCCTGCTGGAGGTGCAGGAAGGGGCAGCTCAAGTCAAGGTGGAAGCGTTGATCCTTGTCCTCGAGGCCGTGAACCAAGTCAGATCCGCTGCTGCCGCTCCCTCCTCTCCATTCTGGTGCTGCAGAGACTTCGACGAGCTCGTTCTGAGGGAGTTTGACGCGCTGGTGGGGATGGGGGAGGAGGAGATGGAAACTGGGATGCACCGGTCCTCCCTCCTCAGGTCCCTCTTGTTCCTCTCCTTGGGCTGCCTCGATGGAGCTGGTCGGTTTGAGAGCGTCCTCGGCAGGATGAGCCAGGGGGGTGCTGGGGGGGTGCTGATATCCGAGGGAGGAGTCGAGAGCCTGTACAGCAAGGTGTCGCTTGCGCTGAAGTCTTGTGCCGATGGGAGGATGAACCGGTCGTCAGCTCTTGCCGTGCTGGACATCACAGAGATCGTGAGTTTGCGCTGTACCTACTGCTGCCTCTGCTATGCTCCTCGTCCCCATCCAATCTCGTCCTCCTCTTTCACCTGCACCTTCTTCTCCTTCTCATCCCCTTCCTCTTTCGTTTCTGCCTCCTCCTCCAGCCTCTCCCTCTTTCCCTCCTCCTCCTCCTCTTGCCCCTCCTTCTCATTCTTATGCTGTTCTTGCTGTGCCCTCATTCATCGTCGCTCAGATTCTCTCCAAGAGCAAGGAGGCGCTTCACGTCAAGGACTCAGAGCTCGCAGAGATCGTCGACGGCGTTTGCGCCTTGAGGATGCACACGGAGGGCGACGCTGACGACGATGCTGCTGCCTCCTTCGACCATGACGAGCTGACGGGCCAGCGGCTGAGGTCAAGAGTCGGAGTCCGCGCGACGAGCCTGTGGGCCAAGGAAGGGAGGAGGGCGCTGAAGGAGAGGCTGCGGGAGGACAAGGCGGCGCTGCTGTGGGTTGAGAAGCAGACAGGCTGGCTAAGAGCTGCTGTAAACTCCTTGACCAGCAGAAACAAGGCGCTGCTCCTTGCTGATCAGGTGATACGATACCTGTCTCGCCTCCCCGCGTTCCCTCGTTCTCCTCCTCTACCTCTCATTTGACTCTCTTTCCCTTCTCTTCTCCCTCTCCCCTCCCCTCCTCCTTCGCTTCATTTTCTCCCACTACCTTCCTCCTCCTGCTCTTCTCTTCGACCTCTCTCCTGCCTCTACTCTTCTTGCGCCTTTTCCTCTCACCTCTCTCTCCTTTCGTTCCCCCCCCCCCCCCCCCCCCCGCTCTTCCTAGATTTTTCCCTCCAGGGATAAGAACTCATGTCCGGTGGCGCGAGAAACGCAAGGGTGAATTCTCTCTGCGCGCAATCAAGACGTGGGACGAAAAAGGGTGGAAAAAGAAAAAAACGCCACCTCCCTCCCTTCCTCATGGGATTTCCGGCTTTGAGCTTCTGCAACACCAAGAGGATCTTCCCCTTGACCCTCTTTTTTTTTTCCTCCTCCTCGTTCCAAGGATCCCGCTCTTTTTGATGCTCCTTAACCCCCTCCTTTGCTAAGCTTCCTCCTTTTTCCCCCCCTATTCTCCCATGGCCTGGTCCCTCACTCAACAAATTTCCCCATCCCTCCCTCTCCCTTCCGGGAACATTTCCATGAAATTTCTTCACTTGAAGCTTCCAAAAAACTTTCCAGGCTCCTAAACCGCATTTTCACCGTCATCA